TTGCACTAAATTTTAATGAATTAATTCTAGATATTCATGAAGAAATGTTGAAAGATCGAATTCGAACAGAAAGCTATTGTGATTTTATCTACGAAAATAAAGATCTTTTCAAGGACAAGGTTGTGTTGGATATTGGGTGTGGTAATCTGTAGAGCAGGCAAATTTGCCTGCTAAAATTTAAAAAAATATAAATTTTTTAATAAAATATAAAAATTAATTTTAGTAATATAGATGCTGTTTAAATAATTTAAAATAATATTTGTTTTATTAATTTATTAAAAAAATATATTTTTTAAAAAATAACGACGATTTTAAATAATCTTTAACCGTAGAGAATTCATATCGATATGATTGACTAATTTATGTCGATCAACCAATCAAATTAAGCAAGAAAAATTCAACATACCGATACGTACTACGTATAGGAATAGCGGTGACAATTGCAATAGGAATTTTTTGATTTTAGATCTGACTAATGGTTACACGGGACTAGCAATGTGGTAATCAGTTATCGTTATACGTATTAAGTAAAATGTATTATGGTTCGAGTTTATGTGAGCTTTTCCCTTTAATTTGATTGATCAATTTTCACGTGTAGATCTACAAAACTTGACCGATCGAACCAACTTCTGTATATAAAATCAAACTTTTACGCGTAATAGTAATTGTTTTACTTTTATTATTATTATTATTATTATTTACACCTTTTTAATGTGCTTTATACTTTTTATTTTTATTTATTTACTTTTATTCCTTTCCTCCTAAATATAAAGAGAAACACGAAGTTCGCGTGCACCCCGGAAACTTAATTGGAAAAATGGTGAAAAGGTTAGTATTTTTATATATTGTTTGGAGTGAGTAAGATAGTTAGGAAAGGAACTGGAAGCACGTCGCGGCCACAGTTTGCGAAAGTTACTAGTCGAGTAGCCAGACTTGACGTATGGTGGACGGCCTACTGTGAACGTTCTTCCTTTTCTAACTAACTGAAAGCTTCCTTATGTGAAAAGCTAATGGGGCATAGGGAAAAAATTGCACCCCGTCTTGAAGAAGAGAAGAAGATGATGATTAATGATGATTAATGATGATAACGGACGATTCAAGACGGGGGCGTGTAATTTGGACCCTAAGAGATTTTCCGAGTAGGGCTTAGCTAATTCTGAAGGAGGGGTTGGCCACGTTTCCTTTATAATGACGAACATCTTGCTCACTGCGGTATCATCTCTATACAGTATTATTATAGGTATTTGGCGAAATTACACGGACGAATAGGATGCTAGTGAAACATATAAGGTTGGATATTGTTATTTTTATAGTATTGGAGTTGAAAAAGATAAATATGTTACTAACAATTTATGCAACAAATAATTTTAGAAAATCCGATTTTCGAGGCTTTGTGGCAAAATCGAAATTAAATAAAAGCTGAAGTAGTAATTGTCTGCGAAATTGGTGTTGAATTAGTGAAATTTTGTTAAATTAATTTTATCAATATTTTTAAATGTAAACACATCGGTAATTAATAATAATTTTTAAAAGATTAAAGATTGATAAATTTTTTAATTAATAAAAATTATCATATTATGAAACATAGTAACCGTATTAATGCAATGCAAAACAACGTATATCATTTTTTTTTAATTTGAGAATGACACATCAATTAACAATTGACATAAATTGAGGATTACGATAAAAAAGGATTGCATTAGTTTGAGCATGGCTTAAAATTTTGCCGCGGCACTTAAAGAAATAATGAAACATCTAATTGTTAAGTTTATTATTAAGTTATGTTGATCTGCGAAATTTTAAACTAGCGTTTCTGTAACATAATTTGTAGCATTACTACAGATGCTAACGAATCGTCTCAATGCATTTTACGCATGTCATAACTAGCCGTAACAATTAAGTTAAAAAAAAAGTAATCACTAATTTTTGATTATTGATTCCCGCTTTCTTCAACATTTTTTTTGACTTTTAGATTAGATAAAATTTGCGCATCTATTATTTTATAAATTTTATAGTTTGCATATTTGCAGAAATAGAAGTTGCGAATTAAAATTGTCAATCAAATTTTTACAAATGATAAAGTTAAAAGAAATCGGAAATCAGTAATTGGAAAGTATATAGTAAAAATATATATGTTTAAGAAAATATATTTGACCTTTTATTATAACGATAGAACTAATTTTACCAGTATAATTTATAATTTTATTGGCTCATAGTCACATGCTGGCGAAGTCAATTTCATGTGATCCTAATACGTAGTAAAAATGTTGATAATGAAAAAATTATAACCAATAATAACGATAATAAATTTACTGTTTAAAAATATGCGATAAATAAAAATTAAAGTTTTTTCATAGTTTTTCATAATATTGTAATTAATTATTACTTATTTTCGATATTAAATAAATGATATGTATTACCTAGTTATGGATTTTTTGATGGTAGATCGCAAATGATTTTTTGATTATCACGAAAATTTTCTATCGATTTGTTTGCCAATGTCAACCCAAAGAAACACAAGACTCAAAATACAAAGACTTGTTTAATGCAACGAACGAATTGTTTCAACATTGTAAAGAAAAGCATAGCTTTGACTTTCAGAAACTTCGTGCTGAACTAAGTATATATATGCTTTAATTTGAACTGTTAATATTAAGCTAATTGAATTACTTAATTCGTCTTGAAATCAAATTACAGAACTTGATTTTTATCAATCCATTCGTTTGATAAATTACATTCTTAATCAGGTAAACCTATATTATTTTAAATTATTTTCCGAATAAATGAAGCGAGACGTTAAAAATTTCTACTATTATTCGTGTTTATAAACACAGGTCTTGAACAATTCTGAATTGGAAAATACCACATTTTATGCAATACCAGATGTT